ATGGTCGGTTAAGGTGTCAGGGATGGGTCAACAGTGTAATTATAAATGTAATTTACAGATGTAATTACATGCAAGTAAGTACAATGTAAAAACATGTATGTACATTGTACCAAATGATTAATTTAAATGTAAGTACATAGTAGTTAAGGCCACTTAATATAAAGTGGGACCCAAGTTTCTTTATACTCTGTTGTTACAGATGGATGAAATGTTTTAAAGTTTGCTACCCTGAGAACCAACAAAAACTATATGGATTGTGAGATCACGCAAGTCACCTACAGGTGAAGTGTGCATCAATATTTATGGTTATCGACTTGTTCATTGGTCAGTATAGAATAAAAAGTGAAACAAACATGCAGGCGACACTGAGATCACAGGGGGCGTACAAGCCTCCGTGAAAACCTTTAACAGCCAGTGGAAGAGGCACGAAACGTCTGAGCAATCATGGCGAAAAATATTAAGGAGCATCTGGAGGATACTTTTAATGATCTTGGGAAGGACGAGCTAAAGAGTTTTAAAAATAAACTCTGCGATCGGAAGAAAGAACAGGGAGTCCGAAAAGCTAGAATCGAAAAAGTTACCGACGCTATAGATCTCGCTGATTTAATGGTGAACACTTTCACATCGACTGGTGCGGTTCCTGTAGCAATCGAAATTTTACAGGTTATTGGCTGTAACGAACAAGCAGCGGAGCTCAAAGAGAACACAGGACAATGTAAGTCAACTCTTGTGAAAGATACGAAACTAAATGTTGGCTAGAAAGAAAACGGCTGTCTGCTGCCAATAGTTTTAGCTCTCAACAAAACAAATGCAAATCAGAAAATGAAAACAATTCTTTACCAAAACTTAAAAACTTTCCAGATCTTCTTTTAGAGGAATCGTAAATGCAATATAGCATGCCTATTATTACATAAACAGTGTAGGCTAATATTAACAAAAGTGGACTATGGTAACATAGATTCATTCGTAGGCCTATATATAGTGGGTTTTGTTTAAATTTGATAAATGTATACAATTTAAACAAAACCCATTATGTTGGCCATCTTTAACAACACGTTGTCATATGAATTAGTATCAGTCCATGTTCAGTAATTTGAGATGCCCAAACCAGATTTTTGGCCCTTCAGAATGAAAGATTTGGGCTCCTCTGGTCTAAAGCATACCGCCAACACATCATATTACTTCCGAAGTCATTGGATTGCTATTCCTTTCACACTGCACAACTGTATCGTCGCTTAAGTCATTTACAGTTAACTGCAAGACTATATATAGACCATACATTTAGACCTGTTGCAGACAGGTTGATTTTGTAATTTTGTCAGCAAGCTCCATTAACTGGCAGGTTTAGAGGGAGGAGTTATAATTAGGGGTGGGGTTAGGATTATCAGGTAGGCAATGAGGAGGGTAATCATTTGGCAGGGGGTCGAAATTGGGCCCAACACTGGCGAGTGGTAGTGTAAAAGCAATTAGTTTCGTTTCAAATCCGAATTACACGGATTTGAACTTATGGTTCGGAAGCACTCTTGTAGCCTAGGCTATATATTGCGCTGTAGTTTCAGTAACCTAGTGCTTTACGATGACAAGTAGTGCAGGAAATGCTGTCAGAGTATTTTAGTGTGATGTTCCGTAGCCTAGAATGCACATTCAAGAACTGTTAATCCAAATGAATGAAAATCATTTCGTGGCAGTATTTTAATTTTTTTAAACTTATGAACATATGGGGACTTGGGGGGGGGGGGGGGGGGGGGGG